TGCATCCACAGATGCATCTCGAGCAGGTCCAAGGAGGTGATCCTCCCCCTCTATGCGGCACTGGTCAGGCCGCAGCTGGAGTACTGCGTCCAGTTCTGGGTGCCGCACTTCAGGAGGGATGTGGACAGCATGGAGAGGGTCCAGAGGAGGCCACTCGCATGATCGGGGGCAGCAGGGCAGGCCCTGCGAGGAGAGGCGACGGGACCTGAACCTGTTCAGCCTCCACAAGAGAAGGCTGAGGGGGGATCTTGTGGCCTGTTATAAACTGGTTAGGGGGGATCAGCAGGCACTGGGGGAGTCCCTGTTCCCCCAAGCACTGGCAGGAGTGACCAGGAATAACGGTCACAAGCTGCCGGAGGGTAGATTCAGGCTAGATATCAGGAGGCGCGACTTCACTGTCAGGGTGGCTAGGATCTGGGACCAACTTCCAAGAGAGGTGGTGCTGCCTCCTACCCTGGGGGGCTTTAAGAGGAGGCTGGATGAACACCTTGCCAGGTTGTTTGACCCCAGTACCCTTTCCTGCCATGGCAGGGGGTCGGACTCGATGATCTGCTCAGGTCCCTTCTGACCCTAGAAACTATGAAACTATGAAACTTAGTGCACCTTTATTTAAGGGACATTAAGGTGATTTAGGTGTGTGTCTACATGTGCACATTAAGGCACATTAAATCTAGGCTGGCATAGCTAAATTGCATTAGCACATGCATTGCCATGCTAATGGGCATTAATGCGGCATGAGTTCATTGGTGCACACCACATTAATGTGTATTAAGCATCCACATGTGGGCTAATGCAATTTAACTATGCCAGCTTAAATTGGCACTTGCTATCAAATTTAGGCAGGATTAGCCTAAAATCACCATTTTTAAGGTGTATTAAAGGCACACGTGTGGACACACACCCTTAATGTGCCTTAAAAATGGTGATTTTAGGCTAATCCCACTTAAAAGGGACACGTGTAGACGAGCTCAGTGAGTCTGCGTCTGTTAGAGGTAGGAGCATGCTATTATCTCCTTGTTCCAGACAGGGGACTGCGGCTCAGAGACAGTGCCATACCCGAGGCCACATACAACTTCTGTGGCAGGGCAGAGGCAGGTGCCGCAGACTTCCCATGGCTTGGACTCATCCCGGCCCGTCCTACCTACAGCAGAGCTCTGCTCCCTCCACAAAGCCCTTTTGCCCAAAGGACGCGGCATCTGCCCTGGCTCCACGTGTTGAACTCAGCAGCCACTTCTCCAAGTGCTGAGTTGCAGGTTTTTTAAAAATCCGCTCCGATTGGTCCACATGAGCACAGCTCTCTAAAGAGAAAGCAAGACTGTACTGAACAATCAGAGCTGGGACCACGGTAACTTCAGGACACAGCACTGACCAAGGCACCAAAAGCTGTGTCCCAGGAAACCAGCTCCAGCAGCCTCCCAGCTCTTGCTCCTCTCCGGCACAGGCATGTCCCTGTCTCCCCGCAGCCTGGCATCTTTAGCATGCTCCCCTCATTGCCACTGAGCAACTGTAGCCGCTGCAAGGAGCTGATCACAGCAGCTTTTCATTGCATCGCTGCTGCTTTTCCCCGCTTCTGGATCATTTCCCCAGAGGGTTGAGCAACTCCAGGTGCCTGTAGGATAAGGAATCGTCCTCTGGGAAGTGACAGGATTTCCTGCGAAGCCAGAGCGGAGTGGGAGTGCACCTGGGAGTTGGCTCCTTGCTGCTAGAACAAGAAGTGGGGACTCTTTGCTTGCTTCCCCCAAGAGAGATTTTTTTTCCCTTCCTTTTCCAGTTAATTTGAATGAAAGAGCAAGTGACTGAAACCACCTGGCTCCCACCCTCCTCTCCTGGTTCTTCTTTGCAGAGGCTCCTTTTTCCCCCGGCTGCTGAGACACAATGGAGCTTTTCAAGCTGAGCCTGAGTTGTATCTGCCTCCTGCCTTGGCTACAGGGTAAGTTGTACGGGCTTTTTTTCTCCTTTATGACAGCTAGAAAAAGAAAGCCATTCACCCCGAGTTGAACAGACAAAGAAAGCAGCAGCCCCAAATCCACTTTGCTATTGCAAAGCTCTAAATCTACTCGCCAGACAAGGGTTGGTTTTTTCCTGCAGGTGCATCTCTATATAATGACTTTACAAACAGATGCACCGAACTGCAGAGGATAGTTATTTCCAGCTGGAAACACATGCAGAAGGAGTTCAGTGGGGACAGGGAGTGTTTCCAATGAGGTAGCATCTGCGCTGGGTGTTTCAGAGGCGGTCCGCTCCTGTAGCAAGAGAAGGCAGATTTGGCAATCCAGACACCTGTGTTTTAAGCCTGCTTCTGAACTCAGCCAAGCCACTTAATTTCCCTGTGCCTCGTTTTCCCATCTGGGGAGGTTTACCAGAAAGGCATGATGTAATGCAATCAGGACTCTCGTGGAAGATGCCTGGTTGCTGGATTCTGCCGGGCTCCCGCTGTCCTCACTCAGGAGGGGCATTTTCAAGGACTCTTAAAATTCAGACCGACTACATAGGCGGTGTGCCACGGTGAGCCAGTCCCATTTATCCTGCCCATGAGCTTGGAGGAGCTCAGAGGGTGTCCTGTCTCCTACCATCTGAACAGGGACCACTATGAAGTGGGCAGGGACCACTACACCTGCGGGCAGGCAGCTAAAATTGTGGGGTGAGTATTAGCAAGAGCAACTCCAGCTGAGCAGAGGGACTCTGGGATACGATGGATGAGCCTCTCTCTGCTTTGTGTCTCGCAAGAGCTGCAACGCCTTTTGCTCTGTGCAGCCCCAGCCTGGATTTTCACACAAGGGGGTTCATGCACTCTCTCTTCCTCGGTGAATATGAGCTCTGGAGGGCTAGCAACAACACGACTGGTGCCCTTTTATCACTGCCCGGACAACCACTATCCTGCTATAGAGATTTGCAGAGAGTCAATGGGATGCCCTAATCCCAGTGGCAGACAGGCAGCAGTGAGGGGCTCACTCCTTCTAGATACCTGTTGTCCCATAGCAGTCAGACCAAAGAGCTTAATTCGAATAAAGAGCAACCACTTGACCCTCAGATGCCTCTATCTCTCCATTTCATTGGGGAGCTTTTCCTAAACTCCCTATTCTTGCCTGCTATCGATTTTAAAAGCAGTACACCCCCGATACTACTGCACTTCTCTTTGGCTTCTGTATAGTGGTCCATGGACCTTACATGACCTGCAAGGCCATGGTAGGAGATCCGTAGATAAGCACTGGGCTTTACCACACTTTCATCACAAGTGTGGGGAAAAAACCTGCTGTTTGACAGTGATCCATTACTCCAAGAGGTCTGAGAGCTGCTGAGGCTGCAGAAGGTCATACGCTGAATCCTGCCTGGATGGTAGACGGGAGAGCACTCATGGGAGGGCTTTATAGCTTGCATCTGGTTAGTTTGTATGGGCCCTGCTTTTAGGTGCAAGTAAAACAAGAGAAGGGAAGTTCTGGGGGAGAGCACAGTGTGTGTATCTCCCCCACTCCAGGCTGCAGAATGAAGTGACTGTGGAGTCAGCAAGCTTGGCTGGCAGACAAGAGTCCATGAAAACCCAAAGTTGCAGTGCATGCAAAGCAAAAGGCTGGCCAGCCACCGCTGCCTGCGCAGCGCTCTGCTATGGACGCAACCTGCCTAAAGCTCAGTGATGTCTGGCGCTGCCCTGAAAATATCAGGATGAGGGTTTCTCTTGTGAGATCTTGGCTGCAGTCATTCCAGCAGCTGTGGAGTCAGAAATCCTGTGCAAATACTTCTGATGTTTCAGTGCTTCCTTTTGGAGTCCCAGGGGAAACCTAGAGCCCCGGAGGTAGCAGCAAAAATACAAGGGAAAAGGGAAATCCTTTATCAGGTCAAAAAAATTGTTTGGTTTCAGTTCTGAGGAGGTGGGTCTGAGGCTGATTTTATTCTTTTCTGAACTCTTCCAGCGCTGGTTTGGATCAGATGAGAGAAACAGCAAGTGGGCACTGTAGGTTATTTTGAATATCAGCACATGAGGCGTGATCCAGCTCAAGAAATTATACAGTTCCAAGCCCCTTGAGTGCTTGGGAAGTACTGTTTCACACACAGCAATGGTCTAAGGAGCAAAACAGGTCATCTTGAAGAAGGTTTATTTACCAGCTAAAATGGGGGGGTTCAACCAGTTTCCCACCAGTCTAGACACAGAGAACCTGAACCAAATCGACTGGCCTGCCCAGTGCCATCTCACCATGTCCTCCCGTCCCACTAGAGTCTTAATATTCCTCCCAGGCTGCAGGAAGAGGACTGCTTTTGATTTACAGCTCTCAGTGGGCCACTTTTCCTGCTGGCATGAAATCAATAGAATTACAAAAGAAAAGCATTTGGCACAGTGTGATTCACTGGAAATTCCCCTCCCCGGGGGAGAGGTAGGAGTGGAGCTCTCTGGGTCTTAAGATTAGAAGACTCCAGTCTGTGATGGTGTATGAACCTGCCGGGGGGCTGCAAAGAGGATGGAGCTGGGCTGTTCCCAGTGGGGGCAGATGATGGGACAAGGAGCAATGGGCTCAAGCTGCAGCAAGGAAAGTTGAGGCTGGATATTTGGAAAAACTCTCACAAGGAGAGTGATGAAGCACTGGAACAGGTTACCCAGAGAGGTGGTGCAATCTCCATCCTTGGCAGTATTTAAGACCCAGGTAGACAAAGCCTTGGCTGGGATGGTGTAGCTGGGGCTGGTCCTGCTTGGAGCAGGGGGTTGGACTAGATGTGACCTCCTGAGCTCCCTTCCAGCCCTCATTGTCTGTCATTCTCTGATTTTATGATTCTATCTTCTGGAGAAACTCCCTGGCGGTAGTGGGGTTTAAATGGGTGTTACGAGGTAGGGAGTCCTAAGGCAATGCAATGTGTAATGATGATATTGCATGTAAATCATGTTGCTGCCAAAGCCCTGTTGGACTTGGGAGAAAGCTGGTGGGAACAACGCAGAAGTGGTAGGCAAAGCAGATTGCAAAGTATGACCACTTGTTCCTGCCCAGGGCAGGGAGTCGGACCTGATGATCTGTTTAGGTCCCTTCCAACCCTAAGCACTATGAAACCATGACCAACAACAACAGGTTGCTTCCTAAAATGGCTGCACAGAGGAACATTGCCCTAAATAGAGATGCCTACACTCTTTGCCAGCTGGCAGACAGTGAGACCCCTCAAGCAATACAGGGTAGGGCATAAACCAGGCGTTGCAGCTGGACCTCTGGAACTGCTGAATGCTAGCAGACACGAGTGATGGGCAGAAGCCAAATGTGGCAGGGCTACAAGCCCCAACAAACTCTCCCTCTGCCTGAAGAAGGGTGTTTGTGCTTGAAAGCTTGCCAAGAACAATTTTTTCCAACTATTTAGCTGGCCTAATAAAAGATATCACATCTACCCAAAGAACCACGTCTGCCTATGTCCTTAGACCAACATGGCTACAACCAACAACTCTAAAGCCCCAATAGCGTGTTTTCAGGATTTGAGACACATTCAGGTCTGTAGGCCTGCAACTAGCTGGCATGCCTCTTCGTGCTTGAAGCTTGGTGGACCCTTTGGAAGACTGGATTAGGATTCAGAATGACAACGAACCATTTAGGATGTAACAATTGCATGGACACAACAGGTTAGGAATGACTCAACTAAGCTGCAATACTGCAAAAAAAGGACCTGGACAGTACAACAGAATATAAATGAACATAGGAGTCAACCGTGCGCTTTTGTTGCAAAACCGAACATTAATAAGAACGCTGCTCTCAAGCAAAGGGAAGTGATTTTCCTGCTCTGTTCGGCACTGGTGAGGCTTCACCTGGAGTCCTGTGCCCAGGCTGGGGCACCGAGCTTCCACAAAAAGATACGGACAAACTGGAAGGAATCCAGCAGGGAGCAACAAACATGACTAGAGGTCTAGGAAACATGACTTAGATGAAAAGATTGGGAAGAACTGCAGTGAGGGACATTTTAAGGTGGATATAAGGAAAAACTTTCTAAATCTGGTGGCGGTTAAGAATTGGAACAGGCGACCCGGAGGGGCTGGGGAGTAGCCATCCTTGGAAGAGCAGGTGAGACAAACACTTGTCTGAGATAGGTTAGACAGGAATGATCTTGCCTTGAGCAGGGGATTGGACTAGATGACCTCCTGGATGCCTCTTTAAGCCCTGTTTTTCCACAATTTACCAGTGTGCACGCCTCCGGCCAAATGTCCACGATATGGCAACATGCAAAGAGCATTGCCACCCTGAACAGTCTGAAGAAACCCTCTGCTATCAGCTGCCACGTGTGACATATACTGTGTGCTTGTGGCAAGGATGTCATCACAGAAAATCACACTCCTCCTGGAGGACTGCATCCCTCATGGGCAATCTGGGCTCAGACTAGAAAGAAGCACCGAAGATCATGTAACCTCACCGACGACCTGTATCAAAGCCACCTACCAACATGGGTTCAGCACAGCAGTGGCTTTCCTGGAACCGTCTGCAACACGCAGCTGGTCAGATGGGGGAGTTTGCCTCTGAAAGTGTTGAACATGGTCTGGTGTCGTATGGTCAGGACTTCTCTGCTCACCAGCTGTGAGTGTCACATACCTCTGCTGGAAAACAAAGCAGCTATGAGCTCCCATGGCATTGTCCCTCTTTGATATGCATGCCAGCGACATGACACTGAACCGGTCACAGATGTGGATGAATATGCACTCGACATCTGAGAACTTGCCCCTAAGAGGAACACATCTCGAGAGAAAATTTGAAAAGAAAGGAGGAGTCTGCTAGAAGTTATAATGATTTCAACCACCAGATGAAGAAGCATCTGACTGTCTTCTGTAGTAGTGGACTCAGGCTGGATAACTTCCCAAAACAGCTTGGACTATATAGCTTCATCTCTGACGAAGACTGCTTCCAAGAGAAAGGACAACTTAATCCATGCAGGCGTCAGGACTGGCTGGGAAGCGGATGCTCATATTTGCAAATGATC